AAAATCGGGGCTCCTTTCCGAATCGCAAATTGATTGCATCCAAATTGAGGAGCAGAACACATTTACATCTTAAGTGACTCCTAAGAGTTTTAATAGACCCCCTGAACGGCAGAAAGCAACTCCCTGAGGAGGGAGGCTTCGTCCCCGCCTAAAATTTCTCAAGATTCCTGAATGGTCGCAAAATTGACGTCGATTCTCCAGAAAAAGACGGTATCCCATGTAATCGACCCCAAGAAGCTCAGGGAACATGAAATTTAGAGTCCTCGGGGTCGATTACATGGGAAACTGTCTTTTTCTGGAGAATCGAAGTCAATTTTGCGACCATTCAGGAATCCTGAGAAATTTTTGGCGGGGGCGAGGCCCCCTTCCTCAGGGGGTTACTTTCTGCCGTTTAGGGGGGTCAATTAGAACTCTTAGGAGTCACTTAAGATGTAAATGTGTTCTGCTCCTCAATTTGGATGCAATCAATTTGCGATTCGGAAAGGAGCCCCGATTTTTAAAATTGGGCCCCCCCGTTTACCCCCCAAGGGGGACTGGAGGAGCTTCGGGACCATGAAATTTGGATTTCTCGAGGTCGATTACCTGGCAAACCGTCCTTTTCTGGAGAATTTACGTCAATTTTGAGACCAAAGAGAAATTATGGAGGGGGGTACTGTCCCCCTCTTTAGGGGATCATTTATGGGCCTTGGATGGTCCGATTTTGGATTTTTAGGGGTCAATTCCACGTGAAATTTTCCGTGCTTTTCAATTCTAATGCGATCGATCCGCAATTCGGTCGGGAACCGTGACTTTTAGCATCGTGACCCCCCCCTTTACCCCCCAAGGGGAGGTGGGGGGGGGGTTCGGGACCACAAAATTCGGATTCCTTGGGGTCAATTCCCTATTCAACCCCGCAGTCTCCGACTTCGTGCGACCTAAACCAACCGAGAAAAAGGCCTGGTACGGGTGGTCTGAAACACCCTGTATAGTTGAAAAATATAGAGAATTTTCGATTTGGACTTATAAAAAAAAGTTTAACTCGTTCAAGCACACAGTGTGTACAGAGTGCTGCTGCTATTCGACCCTTTTCTTAAGGTCAAAATTCTTACAAGGAAGCCCCTTGCAAGAGGCGAATTTTTTGTAAAAACTCCAACTTTTTTCTCCGTTATATAATTGAATTGCTTGTCGAATTCTGAGGTCAATTTATTTAATTGCAATTTATTTATTTTTTTTCTCTCTCTCTCTTTATTTTATTTTTTGAATGGAGAAGTCCAGGTTTTGTTGATTTCTATGATGATTCTTCTTTTCTTTCTTTCTTGATTACGAATACTGTAACTTCTCTTCTATTCGGCCGATTTGTATGAATGAGACCTCTTCTAATTCGGGGTTTTAACAGAGAGTAAGGAAAAAATTGCTAAATACTTGTGAAACAATTTTGTTTAAAATTGGACGAATCCTGTATGAGCCACGTTTAGCAAATGGTCTAATAAGTTTCGAGGCTCATCACAGATTGCACTTACGGCTGCCCTGGCTGTCAGAGCAGTGGTACCAAATTTTGAAAAGCATAACAGGGGTGTAGAGATCTGTCAAAGCAACGTTTTAAACAAAACGGAGGAGTGAAATTCTCATTTGAAGAGTGCTGAACTGTTCAGCCATCCTTGAATCAGTTTGTTTGATTTTGCTTAAGTATGCATATTTTAAATTAGCGTGGAGCACTCTTAGGTTTTTTTAAAAAAAACCAAGTAACGTAGACTCTTGGTATTCATTGCACATAAACTAGAAAGCCCCAGAATGACAAACAGATTTAAATAATTATTATTGATGGATTAGTAAACTTTTAAAACGCTTAGAAAAACCTCAGAAGTTCGCGCCAGTCACTTTCCGGTAAGGAACTAAGGGACTCGGTTATTGTATCGAGTAGGGGGTCGAAACGATTGCAAAAGCGGTATACTACGTATACGCGCCAAAATGGCTAATTGTAAGTATATCATCTTCCCTCAGCAAGGGCATACTTACCTTCAAAGTAATGTTAATGATTCCGGTGAGGATGGATATTCTTGAAAACTGAATAGGAGCAAAAATATCAATATTTTGAGAGAATATTTTGTTAATGGCAGCGGCTGGTAGACTGACATTGCTCACTTGAGAAGCAGCTGATGTTCCCCAGCGAGAGTGGTGTTGGTAGCTTCGCGCCGATTGTTGAGCTGATACTCTTCGACTCGAGTCGGAGCTTCCACCTGTTCTTGTACCTTCTTCAAAGAGAGCACCAACCTGAAAATATTAACCCTACATTATTCATCACATGATGATAATTACACCATGCACTAATTCATGACTGTTTATGTGAAAAGGGGCCTTGGTGCATGGAGGGACACTTTGAGGATAGTAATATTTATCAAGATGGGTTGAAAAATTAAGCCTGATTTGCACTGGCAAATGCCTCCTGTCATTAAAAAAATAAGTTCAGTTCATTTTTGTGTTAAGTTACAGAAAAAGAAAAGTTGCACATGTCAATTTAAGCTCTGAATACAGCACATCACAACTTGAGATAAAATTTTCTTGAAATTACGTTTTTTTAACTACAAACTTTAAGCTCTTTTAACTCAGGTTTGGTTTGAAAATGGGCATTCTTAGAGCCAAAATTTCCATTAAATATTCTTCTAAATACTAGCAAAAAGATCTTAATTTTAATTTCTTTTGGTGAGGAGGTTGTATTTCCTGTAGATATTCATATTTATGAAAAGGAAACTTGGACTGAATTCATCGAAAAGGCACAAGGTCGCATTTTAGTGATGGAAATAGAGAGACTAACATTCCTGTGTATTTTACCAAGAGCTTGAAATAACTTACTTGACAATCAATAGTTGTAATATCTTCGATGACTCGTTTCATAGCAGCACGAACAGTGCGAGGCTCAGCACAATGAAACCAATCTCTTGTATCAACCGATTTTTTTACCATCTGAAGACAAGTCAACAAATTTCATGATCAATCCTGATGTCTATTACACATGCTTTATTGCACTTTTTAGCATAATTTTGTTCCTCATTTTACTCCGTTAAATTTCAGTTGGCTCATGTTTGAGTGTCTTCGATGAAACTTTCTTGAGAAATGGGGGCAAAAGTTCTATAAAATCAGTTATTTATCAAGAAAGTCTCATTAAATTGCAGCCCCATTTTCTCAAACACAGAAAATAATTTATTCAAAAGCAACTGCTGCCAAGGCAGCTGTGTCACATGTATGAATACATAAATATTTCAGACTAATCAATTGTTCTGGGTTTGAAAACAATGACAGAATTATAGATTAGAAAGATTTGAGAATAGTCTCTAGATATTTATTTTATGATTTTTTATGCTGAGTCTTAGACAAGGTGTCCGTAAAGTCCCCTCTTCCAATAACTCTTTTACCTGGCTAAAGATTTGAAAATCGAGGATGTTTCTAGGTCAAAGGAGGCTACTTTTTGGGTCCCCTAAAATTTTCAGGGGGAACGCCTTGGGGGGGGGGGGGGGGGGTAACAAACCCCAATTTTTTTTTCAAATGGAAAGACCCCTCCTGTGATACATTCTTTGAAAAACCATTAAAAAAAAAAAAAAATTCGTGCAAACCCTACATTATTCTCTCAAACCATTTTAAAAAGGCAGCCAGTTAAAGTTCCGTAGGGCCGAAATTGGCAATCTTGGTTTTTTGCTGATGGACTTGTCTGAAATTTGATATCTTACGGTATTTTGGCACAAAAGAAAATAAAATATTGACGTTAGATTGGGAAAAAAAATCAAGGTTGCTCATTTTCGGCCATATTTTCAGGCAAATCTATCGGCAAAAAACCGCGCTGCCAATTCCAGCCCTTTTGAACTTTAATTGGACGCCTTTTCGAAACGGTACGAAAAAAGGACTTCGCTCCAATTTTTTTTTTATGGTTTTTCAAAGGAAGTATCACAAGAAGGGTCTTTTCATTTGAAAAAGAAGTTGGGATCCGATATCCCCCAAGGGAGCTCTCCGGAGAATTTTAGGGGGACCAAAAAGTAGCCTCTTTGTCCTAGGAACATCCTTCAAGTTTAAAAGCTAAAGCTCAATTAGGTGAAAAGTTACAGGTGGAGGGGACTTTACAGACACCCTTTATAGTCTTAAAGATGTACTGATTGTACAGTTTCATAATCCTGAAGTTTCAAAAAGCTAAAATAAAAAGTGATTGGGGTGGTGGTACTCACGACAGAAAGAGCAGATCCAGCTGCAAAGACATACTGGTTCATGAGATACTGCGCTGCTGTTTTCATTCCGGTACAGATTTCAGCTTCAGAGCTCAATAATTCCTGTTCTGCTCGAGATGCATTTATGTTAATGCTGAACCATTCATCTGTCACATTCAACTAAAAACAAAATATAAAAAAATGTGAGGGCTCATGAAAGACTTCTGAAACTATATTGGATTGTCAGTCTATTTTGACACTTTCATAAAGGAATCTCATGGTGTATCGACAGTGAATTTATCAGATGACATTTCTTGTTTGCCAAGTTTAAAAATCTGAGCTTCCAATTTAATTTTTTGAAGGAGAATAAATCTATATCATTCTTTGAAATTTTTAAACATAGAACAGAAACAAATATAGATTTATTATAAATTTTAGTCCCATTAATTTTACCAAAAATTAAAATAAAAATAATTCATATTCATAAATTAAAAGTTCAAACTGATAGTTTGTCTCCTCATAGGAAGTGTCTGATTTTACCTACTTCTTGTTTCTGCAAATTTAAGTTATGATGATTTTGGGCTTGAATAAAAGTCGATGTAAAAACAGGAACATTTTTCAACATTTTTGATTATGTGCCCCTAAGAGACCCCAACAATTAGGTGCCCAACCATATTCCTAAATTTCAAACTGCAAGATGTGCTGAAAGTTGTGATTTTGCACAACTACTAAAAAAGGCCACCAGAGGTCTAAAGGGCATCTGAGATAATTTCAAATATCAGGTGGGTGAGTAAGTACCATGATTGTAAAAATGGTTAATTTTGAAAAAATTGAGTTACCTACCAATTTGACTCAATCAATAAAAATAAAATTTACCAGGTATCTAACACTGTTAGATTCATATTCGAGACACATTTTGGAGAGAAGTAACAACAATTGAAGAGGAACTTTATGAGAACTCGCTTGGACAGTGGCAGTAACATGGTGAAGGAAACTAACAACCAGGCCTTCTCGCACACCATCAATACAAAAAGCTTCTTTGAAGTTATACTTTGAGATAAATGTCAGCTCAGGCTGCAAAAACAACTGAAAAAAGATAACAAAAAAAGAGGACAAATCAAAACAAAATTTACTATCAAAACTTAGGAATATAGCAAACTTTCCACAATGTTTATAGGCAGCAATGAAAAAAAAGTACAAGCCATCTGGTTGCCTTGCTTACATGAAGTGTTCGGTAGTTTAGGCCAGGAGATGCTGCTACTAATGATATTAAGAGGATCCAGCCAATAAAGATGTTCATTCAACAAACAATTTTTTAAAAGTTTTGAAAATGAGAGCTTCAAAATTCCTCCAAGGTGCGTAGAACTTGCGTCAGATAAGTTGGAAGTTGTTTACTTTGCGAGGAACTGCACTGCTGCAGCTGTTCAATAGTGAAAGAAGATTGACCGATTGTGCCGACCGTCTTGTATTAAGCAGGTGCTGAAACCAATACCTTCTTCTGAAGATATATTGCTAAATTTGTGCTATAGTTTAATTTATAGGGGCTGACTGGCACCAAAAATGTGGCTGCAAATACCAACCCATCAGGGCTCAGATCAGCTTTTGTCAATTTTGTTTTGCCGTAAGGCAACTCTTTTAAGGCAAACTGGCCCAAAGGCACAGTGGAACACATGGAACGCGCCAGTGGAACGGGCTAAAAAAGTGATGCGTTCCGTTGCAATCCACTGTAGTTCGGATAAGAAAAAAGCCCTATAAGGTTCCTAAAATTGGTTGGAAACTTATTTGGCGTGGACTCTTTGAAGCAAGCAATTGCGATGCTTCTTAGTTACCTACTTAAAAATAAAATATGAAACTAATTGACAGGAAAGAAATCATACCAATAAGTCTTGAAGAATGCCTTTGACTTTTTCAACAGAAGCTAAGACCAGTGAAGTGAGTAATTCTGTGGACAAGGCACTATTTGATGAAAGATCGAGCGATTTGTTACTGGTGTAAACTGATCCCTCGGTGTGAGATGAAGTATACTTTGGGGCTGCTAAACTTTGCTTCACACGAGCAAGGCTATCTGCGAAATGACTTTTCAGGGATACTAAATGGTTCCTACACTGTCTGTGAGCAGCGCTAATTATGAGCTCCATTCCTTTGACAGTGAAATCTACATGTGTAAAGAGGGAGTTGAAGGCTTGAAGCCTACAGTAAAGCCTGTCCAGTGCACTTACTAATACTGCTGTATCCTCTTCACTTGTTCCTTCGAGTTTCAATTGGACAATCTCCAAGTAACTGTTCATGTTCCGTATAACAAAGCTGTTTAATTTTCCTACTGCTTCTGAATCTTCCAGAGAATTTGTGCGATTTAAGAACATGTCTGTGTATGATGTGACTATAAGACAAAGGTCAGTCAGAAACACATTGGCACCGGAGTCCATGAATTCCGCAGCATCTTGTCCACTGTGGGTTATTTGCATGGACGATAATTGCTCTGCCAATCTTGAGTCGACAAACGTCAGGTATTCAGAGCATAACTGATCTGATGGTTCTTGAAGTTGAAGCAAAAGATCGATGCATTTAATTAATTTTTTGGCAGACGTATCTTTGTTTTTTAGTTGATCGCGAAGTTTTGTTTTCAATTTCTGGAGTATATCATTACAATCTTTTTGTATACCTTGAAATGAATCCAGGTCACCATAGTAATCCAGAATAGGTTGAGTTTTGACAAATTCTTGAACTGCCTGCTCATAATCTTCTTCTTGCAGAAGTAGTTTTAATTTTCCAGGTAACTTAAATAGAAACTGCAGTTTCTTCAGTAGAGCATGAACACCCGATAGTTTAGAAATTTGTCCATGAGTTCCTTGCAAAGTGCTTGTTATCATTTCAGAGAATGACGTGATGGAATTCATATTTTGTATCAACATTTCCATTTCATCTTCCATTTTCTTGAAATCTGTCTTCATTTTTTTTATCGTATCGGTGGCTAAAATGAATTTATTATAATTCTCATAAACTAGGGTTTGCATATCAGAATTAAGTAATTGACAGTCTTTCACAACTTCACTTTCACAATCCATGATGTGTTTCAGGGAGCATTCCTTGAATAATTTTTGAAGATACAGGTCAGGGTTGAAATCAGGTCCATTGATATCAAAAGGACTTCCTCGTGGTTTTTCTAGTGGTTCCATGTTTCAATATCTCTAATGCACTAAACTACCATTTGCGACAGGCACATGTGAAGAAACGTGAGGCAAAAATCAAGCGAAACTGATGAATTTCAAAGATAGCAAACAACGATAGCTATTCTTCCATGTATTAGATTGTAATAGCAGTACGCGCTTTAAAAAATTAAAAGATATACTTAAGTAATCTAAGAATGAACAAGATGCAATGGTTGTCGGGTATCAATTAACTCTTACTGTAAACGAAATACCAAATATCACAGAAAATATGTGCTTTAAAGAAACTAGATGCTTTCCAAGGATTAAAATTGATAAGAATTGCAGTTTGTTGTTGTTCACATCACTGTCACACGCCAGGGACCAGTTCTATAGGACCCTGGACTCCCGTAAGAGTCAATGTAAAAATTCGTGAGCAGGTACTAGTGCTGCATTCTCGCGTAGGATCCTCGCAACTCACTGCTGTTATCAGTTGTTGGACTTCATTAAAATCCGTAGGATCGCGTATAACTGCAAAAAATCGAATTTTTCACCGTATCATTACATGCGGCGGGCCCTTCCTTGCCGAAAGGGGTCGAAAAACGCCAAAAATATACTTATTTTTCAAGAATTCAGCCGCCTTATGTGTTATTTTTCAATCTCCAGCTTAACCTCACTTTTGGAGCGGGCGATGGATGAGTCGAGGCGTTGCCTACGAGAATGGAGAGGCCGTAACTAGTCAGTTCTGTGACGTCAAGCTAGTAGATATTTACCGAAAACAACAAGCATCTCCGGGTCATCAGTGCATCGATGAGTGAGGCAGTCGCTGCGTGGACCAATCAGAGTGGCTCTCGATCGGCCGAAGTTGCGCGAGCGGCCCGTTTGAATCTGAGTGGAGTAACGATTTTCGGTATTACGCATTCATTTCCTCGATATTTAGACAATGTCACAAATGAACTAGTTAGTTTTCTAAAGTGAAATTTCATCCTCTTTCTAAACAGTTCTTATGAAATTTTGCGTCAGATCAACCCTGAAAGAGATATCGGCGAGAAATCATCGCGCGGCAAGCGTTCTCCCATAAGAACGCGTGTTAAACCGCGGCCGAGTTTCATCTACTAGTGTGACGTCACAGAATCGTAGTTACGGCCTCTCCATTCTCGTAGGCAACGGTCGAGGTTCGGGGGGAAGGATCCTCTGAGTTGACTAGGATCCTACGCGAGAATGCGCTGCAATCACCCGCTCACAACAGAACGGCGTCCTATAGAACTCGTCCCTGCACACGCGTACACTCGTAAAACAGGGATGAAAGGAGAAGGGTGGGGGATGGGGGAGGACAAAAACAGGGACGAGTTCTATAGGACGCCGTTCTGTTGTGAGCGGGTGATTGCAGCGCATTCTCGCGTAGGATCCTAGTCAACTCAGAGGATCCTTCCCCCCGAGCCTCGACTCATCCATCGCCCGCTCCAAAAGTGAGGTTAAGCCGGAGATTGAAAAATAACACATAAAGCGGCTGAATTCTTGAAAAATAAGTATATTTTTGGCGTTTTTCGAACCCTTTCGACCACGAAGGGCCCGCTGCACATAATCATACGATGAAAAATTCGATTTTTCGCAGTTATACGCGATCCTACGGATTTTAATGAAGTCCAACAACTGATAACAGCAGTGAGTTGCGAGGATCCTACGCGCGATAGCAGCACTAGTACCTGCTCACGAATTTTTACATTGACTCTTACGGGAGTCCAGGGTCCTATAGAACTGGTCCCTGACAAAAATTCCAAATTCCTATTCCAAGATTTAGGTTATGTTTTGTTGATTTCTTGCTTTCTCTCTCTCGTGAATGATAATGTTAATGTATTCTAGTATGTGTTCACATTTCATGTTGTCTCTTCTGTTTCTTCCTTTTACTGAATTTTCTCAATCTTCCTCCACTTTTTATACTTTCTAAGTTTTAATCATTGAGTTTAAAAACCACATGTGTGCATATTTCGTTATTTTCTCTTTGATTTCTGGAATGAGTTTTTTTATCTCTACTAGAGGATCCATGACCTTAATTTTCTTAAAGTATTTCTGAGTTCCTGGCGCTAAGAACAATTCAGTAATGTAATCTTAATCTAGATAATTTACTTTGTGTCAACAACTTTGTGCAGTTGGTAATTTTTTGTTTGGAGGAGCTTTAGAGTAGGGGATATTATAGGAGTCTTAGTCTCCTGTCCCTCATTTGCAAACTGTCGCACCATGGCATTCTTATTCTGTTTAAGCACTTTCAACATTTTATGAAATTCCACCAAACAGGTGAAATACTCGTTCATTGTTTGATCTTGTTTCTATTATTTTCACTCCACCTCAGTAGTAATTTTTCAAGTTTCTCTTTTCTACTTTTGCTAACCAGGTGTCTTGATGTTTAGATTCCTGGTGGATTCATAAAATATATTTTAAAAGCACACATTTTTACGTCTCCATCCTAATTAAGAGAACTAGACCTCTCTTTAAGAATATTTTCTGATTTCTCAAATTATATTCACTTTTTAGTCTGACTTGAAATACTTAAGTATATCGTCCACTGATCTTGTAGGTATACTAAATTTCATAGTTCAGGGTTTTAACTTGCAAGTTTTCCATTTTACTTGCATTCTCCTTCAATTCTTTATAGTAATCGCTGTACAGTGGTAATTTTATAGTGAATTTACCAATGGTTTTTGCTGATAGGTGTTTCTTGCCGTTAGATTTTTATGAGGTTCATGAAAAATATTTTAAGAGCACTCTTTTACATACCTCCTTGAACCTTCCTACTCACAATTTGAATGTAGAATTGAACTATATTGACCAAAGAAATAATTTCAATTTCAGTTTTAGTGTGTATCACCTCGAAAAAACAATTTTCTGCTACCTCATCCTCAAATTTTTTAAGATCCTAATGCCCTCCTTCCCTTTTCTTTTGAAAGATTTCAGGTGCATGTTGTAAAAACTCTTTTGTCTCAAACTCTTTTTGTTCTATTCTGACTCCTTTTATTGGTGATTATTGTCAATCGCTGAAAATCATTTTTATTCATTATGAAATATTTCTATGCAGGCTGTCCCAAAAGTACTGCAACAGTTCTTTGTATGAGCGTATGGTAACATATGACATAGGGTTTGTACGGTCATAAAGATCACTTTATCAGTTGAAAATGAAATCTAGTTGAACTCATTCAATTGAAAATTTGTAAAGTTATGGCTTTTTTCATACTCTTGTTGGGCAGTACCTTTTAGGATCTTAGAACACTCTGTATCCGACAAAAAAAAGTCAACAAGCACCTGTTTTATCAAATGCATGTCACTATTATATGAGTTAGAGGATGGTAAAAGGTATCAAACTAGTCTTTTAAAATCTTTAACCTGTGCTGCAGAGTAACAATGTGTAGGGATGTCTGAAAGAACTAGAAAATATGTAAATCAGGACTCGCTTTTTTTGTTGTCGATGTTGTCTTTTTTATTTTTTTTGGGGGCTTCATTCCATTACTCATTCGGTTTTCTTTTATTTTTAGCTTTTCAAGAGTTTTAAATTCAGTCTCACCTTGAACAGAGCAGTTATGAAGGAATGTCTTCAAGAAATCCCACCCGAAAAACAAGAGAACGTCTCAAAAGTCTACATGAAACATGGGTCAGTTTTTCACCGAAGAATCAAAATGTGGAGATCTGGACAGATGAGCAGGCTGATCTGTCTGAGGGAGAGGTTCCTGTTTCCATGGCGCCGTACATCCAAGCTTACCTAGCATACAACACTCGCATTCATTGTTGCGGTTTGTTTCTGTTCCCGGCTCCTTTTGAAAGAGCCTCCTCGTCCTCATGGCTGAACCCTAAATTTGATTCTGAAGTGCTCGAGGAACAGTATAGGAGGAGTGCCTTACCCCAGATCAAACTACGTTTTCGGTGAGCAAAACATGTTCAAATTTTATAAATATGATCATCCTAGAGAAAAGAAACCCCAGTGCACTCAAACAAGTACCAAACGGGTACAAACTTGCTTGCAGCAGCTACTTACCTTTAAATTTTGCAAAGTATTCATTTGTGAAAGAATACGTGCAGCAAAATGCAGTTTTTAGCATGTCAGTTTAATCACTTAATCAGTTCGGTGTAACTGCCCGGACTAGGAGTTCTGTAGTTCTTCAATCTCTTTTTAAAAATCATTTGCTAATTTTTAATGAAAGTGGGCATAGGATGATGAAACCTGTCGTACCTATAAACATGGATTTCCTAATTTTTTTTTTTGTTTCCTGTATGTTTCAGTTATGCTTTGATGTATATAATTGCAGTCTTGCTATCATGGAGCCTATACTTGTTCCTCATTGTTGAGCATAGAAGCTCCACCGTGCTCTTCATCTCGGCTTTTATCGGGTTTGCTATTGCGACATGTTTTACTTTGGTATTAACCAGAGCCAAGTATTATCACCGCTTCAAGTCTCAGCTGTACCATGCCACCTCGATCCTGATGTTTCTGCTGGTCTGCCTCTCATTGCTCATGGTCTCACAATCTGTAGCCTCACCCATCGGTCAGCTTTGCCTTTGTTTGGAAATTCTGATGATAATTTACACCGTCATTCCGTTCCCGCTGTACTTATGCTTCGGGTTTGGGGCTATGTACTCTGCAGCCTTTGAGTATTTGCTCCAGAACGATTTGAGTGGTCTCCCGGTGCGCATCTTGTCACACATCTGCATTCATCTAATTGGAATCCATATCTTAATCATGACAAATGTTAGAATGCGCGGCACGTTCATGAAAGTTGGACAGTCACTCCTCGTCCGAAAACAGCTAGAAATGGAGAAACAGCTGAAGGAGAAAATGATCCATTCCGTAAGTTCATTGATCTTTTTGCTTGCCTCCCTGTATTATTTGATCTCTCCTCCTGCCTCGGTGTGAATTGGTTTTCAGGAAAGTGTAATTATAAGAGACCTGCTCTTTTTATTATTTTGTTTTTAAAGAAAAAATGAAAAGAATGAAATATAATCAAACCATAATACCGAAAAAAGAAGAAGAAAATTACGAACATGAAATCAACTGGAAGCTGAAAATATGTTATTTAGATGTGGGAACAACATGATAATGAAAGTGAAGTTTTGATTCTACCTCGCCCCTCTCCCCTTTTAATCCTGATCATAGTGTCATGAACAGGTATAGTTCCACTATGTCCCTACATATTTGTCCCCACGATGCAAGGGAAATATCCAAAATAGGTTGAACTTTGGTGAACGCATTGAACATTTCTGAAATTTGAATCAAGAATGTTTTTACCCTGTAAATTGCACATGGTAACTCTCTGATTGTTGTTAGATTGCTTGTGTCAGCTTTCAACCAGTAAAAAAGTTCTTGAATGCTGGCTTTGTGAGCTCAAAAAAAGGTCATAGGAACTTCTCTATATCGGCCTTGTGACTCCAGTGTAGGACACAAAGTGTTAAAAATTGGGCACCAGAACAAAGTATGAAAAAATTCTCCCAGATACCTGGCATCCTTCTAGATTTATTATCATGATTATTTTCATCATTTACAGGTAATGCCACCGAAAGTTGCAGAGTGGCTCATGTCAAATGAAGCATGCGGAGGTGGAACTTTAAGCACTGAAGATGCACGTGGATCTTTAAGTCAAACCAACGATATCAGATCTATTTTTCGTCCATTTATAATGAATCGAATGGAGGTGAGGCGCCTTCTGTATGATTTAACTAGAGCTCTGAGGAAAAATTAGGTGACTGTTGTTTTGTGGCAATGAAGGTTGCAAAGTTGCATCTTACTTGCAGTTTTGAGCCATGAACGCGGCAGATTAAACTTTGAGTAGCTTGTTCCACTAAACACCTTTTTTTTGAGGTGCGAACTTTAAGGTATCATGACTCTGGTTTAGTTTGAAATTTTTGGTATTTTTCTGTGCTGAAATGTTTATACAACACACCTTAAAGTATTAAGCCCATCTTTGAATTTTGAGTTTTCTTTGAATTGAAGCCTCTTTTTCAGTGGATAGTCATGGTTCAATTTTTTAATTAATTTAATTATTTTTCTAAGATGAAATGTTTCTAAATTCCTCAAGTTTTCTGACCCCTATTTTTAAACATGTAGGCGCTGTGGTTTTTAGGAGCAATCCAGTTTCTTCATATTTTTGAGGGCTAGTGACGGGTTTTATTGTGAAATTTGACTTGAAAAATCTGTTAATTACCACGCCTGTTTATCTTTTCTGTTTAGAATGTGAGCATTTTATTTGCGGACATAGTTGGTTTTACACAAATGAGCTCAACAAAAACTGCAGAACAGCTCGTATCTATTTTGAACAATTTATTTGAACGCTTTGATGAGATATGTGAGATTAGTGGCTGTGAAAAGATTTCAACCCTAGGTGATTGTTACTACTGCGTATCAGGTTGTCCAGAACCCCGGCCAGATCATGCCTCTTGCTGCATTGAAATGGGCCTCGGTAAGTTAATCATGGTGAAATGTCAGAAAATGAGATGTCAAGTTGTTGGAAGAGCATTGTGATTTGTGCTCCCATATTTACTTTTTGCTCTAATCTATCATTTGAAGAAAAATTCTCTCAAAAATGTGATTGCAGTCGATGAATATAGAATCAAAGGCCAATGATTAGGCCTAGTTGTTTAAATTATGTAGGTAGCAGAGTATAAGTAAAATTGAAGTCCTGGTGGACGCAGATGAGTAGGTTATTCGGTTTAATATGCAGACATCACGGGAACATAGGCCTAGAGACCAACTTGGAGAACACAAAAAAAGCTAATTTCTCTGTTTCCGTTCAGTTTTAAAATTTTTCTTGTGCTCATTGCTTTTTTGTGAAATTTTGATGAAAAAATATTCATTGTTGTGCTGATTTCTTCATTCTATCTGTCAAGTTTACCTCTGTTTGCTAGCAGAAGAATTTTTCCAATTTGTCTCCTATAAAATAAACCGCAAACCAATCACAGCTTGATGCATGTTTCGTTCAGACAGAGTGTTGGTACCTAATTTTGCTAACATACCTACGTTAAATTCCAGTAAAAAACTGATATCCTCCCTATATAGAGAAAATTTTTATCTTAGCTCAGCTTCCTGTTTTGTCCTCTTCCAAGCTTGAAGAGGTCATGTAAATCAGTCCAAAGTTTGGGCATGTGGTCGTGGTGCAAGCAATCGGATGGTTCCCTCATCAGATAACCTAACTGCATACTCAAATTTCAGGCTTGTTTACACAGCTTCTCTGAGCTTGGAGGCAGAAAAATGAAGAGGCTGCGCTGCATTGATGGTGGGTCCAATCAGACCCGACAGGCATCTGCAAAGACCTACTTGATTGATTGCGATTAGTGCCGTTTCAAACAACATAATTCTCTTTGTGCTCTAATGAACTTTTCTGCTCTATAATGGGAATATCAGTTTTTCTCTGAAAGTTATCACATGTTGGCAAAATTGCTAACACTGTGAAATGAAATGCATAGACTTTGATCTCTTAAATAAAGCTGTGCAAATAAATTTAGATTGTCTCACATAAACCCCCAGATTTTTAAAGGCTGTGTAAAAAAATTCATACTAGCACTAAGAACCAATAAGTAAGACAAAAAAAAATAAAAATAAAAATAAAACAATTGTTGGACCTGCCATATTTATTTTTCAAAGTTTTATTTTCTTTTTTACTTTATAGGAATGATTGTAAGCATCAATGAATTTGTTGAAAAGAGTGGTGAGAAAGTGAACATGAGAGTTGGTGTGCACACTGGTTCAGTTCTTTGCGGCATTGTAGGTACGAAACGGTTTAAGTTTGATGTCTGGTCTAATGATGTTTCCTTTGCTAACAAAATGGAGACAACCGGAGAGCCGGGGCGGGTGCATTTATCTCAACAGACAAGGGATTTTTTAGAAGATCAATACACTTTTCAGCTTGGATCTATAATTGATGGTGAGAATAATTAACTTTATATTACCTATTTTATCTGTGTTTTACATTCATCGCATGTTGAAAATATCATGACACTACTCAATTTGATCGAGCATAATGGGAAAATGCTTAATGAATAATTTTCTCTTATTCATGGGGATTCAAGGCAAGAAAGTTTTTAACTCCTTAATTTAATGAAGTGGATTTGTAATTTCCGTTACAGGCCAGAACTACGGTGCAGAGAGTCATTAGTGTTGAGAATTGGTTCTCCTGTTTCTGATTTTCAATCATTCTCTTGGCAGATGGTGTTATTTTTCAGTACATGCTTCGTTAGTGTGTCTATTGTAACAATATTTTACCCATTTTTTTTGCTCTGCTACAATAATTCAATTTTCATGCACAAATGAATCTTGCATCATCTCATTCTCTGATAATTTTTGATTCTTTTGCTAGGTAATTGTGATTTTGAAAGTTGCAAACAATCAAAATGACAGCTCTTGAACCCTTCTCACCCCCATTATATCTCTGCGCCATTCCTTGTGTGCTTGTTTTTTAACTCTTGAATATATCAGATGATTTGATTCTGTCACTTAAAGTTGACATTTAAGTGCAAAAGAAAATTGGTGAAAACTAGCCACCAGCGACGTAGTGGACTTAAATTACATAGTTAAAAACCTCCAATAGTTATTTCATGTCCTTATAGAGTGCAGTTCTTCAAATTATCCCTTTACGAGTGGAACTGGTAAACCTATTGAAATATTATCCTGATAATCTTATCTATAGGTGCCACTCCAAAAACCATGTTTAAACCTATTGTTTCAACTTTGAGCCAACATTTGAGTGCAAAGAGTTAAAAAGGAAAAGTCTCTAAATACTTGAGGCAATTTTTTTCTCCGATTTTGGAATTTACTGGCTTTATAAGTTATGATATGTACTTTGTCAATAGGAAGAATAGCATCAGTACCTACATGTTCTTAAAGTTCAGAATTTTTGAGAGACAAACTTAGGTGGTTGTTACACCTGTTGTTCTACCAGCTATTAGCTCACTCTCAGATGAATTTAAAGTGTCCTGTTCGTCCATCTACTCAGCCCACAGATTTAAGACAAGCTATTCTGTTTCTTATTGCAAATACCTTTAAAAGCTTCAAAAAAATTCCTTGAACAGCCTTTACCTGTTTTTGTTTTCTTGTATGCTTTGTTTTTTTGCTGTTACTTTGCAGAAAATTATTTAAGCAGATGCTGTATCGAATCCTTGTGTACCAGGCACATTGATTAAATTAAAATAATTTTTATGCTCTTCGATTTCAATTCATCGAGTATTTTTGAAATTGGAACAATTTAAAAAAAAAAAAAAAGCTATTTTGTGTATTAGGAACAATTCGTCTTCCTCCAAAGAAGTTACCAAGCTTGCCTCCATCATTTTCCCTCTGAAAATCGTTACATTTCAAATCTAAAGCAAATATTTGTACTTTCACCAGTATTTGCTTCAGGGACATTACTGTTTTGAGTCATTAAAACAGACTTTTTTTCTGTATTTTTCAGGTATCCAAACCTATTTTATCTTAGAAAAGAAAGGAGTCGTAACGCAAGAGTTGCCTCGCAGTGAGGTTGAGTCACCAGAGGCCTCCTCTAGTCAAAAATGCATCTCCTTTTCCCCTACTGATCACCACTCCTTCGAGACTCCCCTGCTTTCTGTCTCCTGCGACAGTCTCCCAGTCCCCAAAACCATAGTTCCTGCCTCAACTTACATCCTTTCTAAGCATTTGTCTTTCAAAAACATCGGTACTGCCGAGACATGTAGTGAACTTAAAAATATACACGCACATACCAACACACGCCCATCATTTAAACAAGAAGAGTCCACCATCCAGCAGTCTCAGCACCCAGTGCTTTTTTCATCACAAAATAATTTGTCCGTTTGTAATACTCACATTCCTAGCAAAAAAGTGCAAGTTTCAACTTTGCAGTGGATTAAAGCCACCTCCGTTCCTAATAATCTTCATAAAAGAACAAACCTGAACAGTTGCATGTGTGGCTCTAGCGACCATTTTGCCGATAAACCGAAGCAACTTCCTGTCCTCTTTGGAGGATCATCAAATCGTTGGCAATATTGCAAACTAAAACTTGGAGCTCCAGGTTAGTTGTTGTTTCCTTCCAATAAATGTAATGGAGAATCACTCCAAAAGACTATTTGAATGGATCAGAATACAAGTACATATTAAAATGCATCTTTTCTCCATTCATTTAGAAAACAGACCCAAAAGTTGAAACTGTAATGGAAGAGCCAATCTAACATGTAAAACAGTCCTCTTCTGTATTTCACTAAATAGAAGGTTATCTAGCTTAGTGTCTCAATTATAACCTACATTTTAGGATTTTTTTTAAGCTTCAGAGTTGAGGAAGAACCAGCAGAATCATCAATGTTTTTTGCTAAATTTTACAATAGATTAGGAGGTTAATTTTACATTAGATTAGGAGGTTACGTACTTGAACAAATCCATGCTGCTTGCAAGAACTCTATTAACAGTTTGTAATATGATAGCGCAATTCTGAAACATTATTATAAATTTATTGACTTTTATCAGTTTGCACCAATAAGACAAATTTAGTAACTTTTTTTAAGAATCAGATTGAATACGACTAGGTTGCATCTGTCCTAGCATTGGGACACGAAGGTGAAATTTTGAAGAATTGCAAACAGCTAGTGTGCCATGTGCCGAGGTTTGCATGGCTCTAGATATTATTGTGTTCAGTATTAACAGAAATATGTTTCAAAAGATGGAAAGGATATCATCAGCTGAGGTAACAAAAGACATTGGTATCCAACACACTATTGTGTGGGATAACATCTTTATCATAATATATTATCCAAAGGGGGGTATCTCCGTTTATATGTACTAAATGCAGGAAATTTTTGTTCGGGTAAATATTTTACTTCCTTTATGTTTTTCAAGATTCAGGTATCGGAATAGGATCATACTAAATTTATAGGAACAATTTGAATCATGCAAAAACTTCCTATTTTATGTTTCGTATGTCCTCTGTTTTAGGTGACAAAGTTGAGGGAGGACTACAATTGTCATTAACTGATAGCAATGATGAGAAGAATGAAAATATATCAGAATTGGTCACCAGAAAAGACTTAGTAAGATTATTCTCTACTTTTTTTGGTTATTTTTTACTTTTACAAGGAATGAAAAGGTAGGTGCAAGAAGTCCCTCACCTGGAAAATTACTCCTTGAGAGAATGGCTCCTTAAGTTATCACCTTATGTTGAATCATAATAAAATCTTAGCGTAAAAACTCATGGTCACAAAAATGCGCACTAATTATGGTGCCTTCACAGTAGGCTGGCTGGAAAAACAATTTTTTCTTGGAATTGTTTGCGGTTATTGGATAATTTTTTATGGTATAGGTGTGAAACATTCATCCAAATCGCATCAAATTATTTTAATTTTCTGAGGTTCTGAATTGAGCATTTTCATCTTGGTTCCGTAAAATTTCACCATTTTTTTGTCAATTTTACCCGGTGATTTTTCTTGAACAGAATATTTGCTTATTGACAAGTGAAAGTACTTTAATTGAACACAAATGGAAGCTCTTCTCCGAAATTGAGTCTAATCATCTTCGAGTGCTTTTTGAGGTTCCGAAATGAAATTTAAGAATTCCATTTCCTGAAAATTGCAAGCTCTCAGAAAATGTTGATTTTTTATCCGTTTTATTACAAAAAAAAAAGTGGCTAGTGTTCAACTTATTTTTGAGGATGTGTCTTAAGCTCAAAGAATAATTTTGTTTTCCTAAGATTATTCTGAAATTCCATTATCGACTTGCGCTAAAAGCGCTTTTCCACAATGAAATAAAAAAAAAAAAGAAAGAAAGAAAGGAAAAAGCGCTTTTCCGGACAGACAGGTGCCATAAGATATGTATGCTTGCGGCTAAAAATCAGAAAATTCATCTTGGGGCTCAACTTTTAGCATAATTTTACATGGTCAGAATAGTTTTCTGCAAAAAATTTTCCTGAAAACTCTTTTTTATACTTTAATGTACTTAGCCACATTCGCCATTGTAATGAAATGCACTCATGACTAATCGCAGTTTTCTCTGACGGAATCGTATTTTTTTAGGACTCTCTCTGACTCTCTTGAATTTTCTCAAAATTATGTGAACGTGAAAGAAGGCCCTTTTTATCGTCTATCTGTAAATTTCTGGAATTTTTCCAGATTTTTGGAGAATGACATAGGCAATGGAGAGTGATTATTTCAGGCTTCTCTGAAGTTCTCCCGCATTTTCTTGGAGTGACACTTAAGTAAAAGGAGTCCATCCTGACATTCTCTCTAGAACTCTCTAATATTTTCTTGGTCTCTTTGGGAGTGCTACAAAGCAAAGAAAGCAATTTTTTTAGAACTCTCCTGAATTCTTGCAAATTTTCTTCCAAAGCAAGTAAAATGAATGTAGTTTGCACCACAATCCCTCGCAGGGCGTCTAAGAGAAGCCCCCTTTTTAGCCGTTCTGGGTGTATACAGTGCGCTTGGGAGACTAGTGAGCTATAGAAACTGATACAACTTAAAAAACGCATGGCTATGTACACTTCTTCAAGCTCAAGTTTTCTACAGTTGAAATGTGCCAATAGATGACATCCCTATCTATCTATTTTGATCTATCATTTTTGCCCTGTAATTAAACAGTCTGACCTAAATTTTTTTCAGTCAGGTGATAACAGTAGAGTGGAAACATCGCCAAGAATGGATGACCAACTAAGCATGTGTCAATCATCAAATAGCCGTAAAGATTCTGGAATCAGAAGTAACAGTCGTAGAAGTAGCATTTTACAACATGTAAGTACTTAATGTGGTAAATAAATACTACCTGAATCCTTAGAAAACAGAGTTGATAGCATTCTATGGATCATTAGACTGTGTGATACATTAAGCACCGTAGCGCAAGTTTTTTTATGGAAATTTCAGGTAGAACAAAGTGTACCCAACATAAATGTCAAAATTCATCTCATTGGTGAGACATTATTGTTCTCTGGTTTTGCCAGTTTGAATCTTCTGCTTGCCAACCAACCAAAGTCTACTTGTCATACAACCTCACTACTAATTATAAAATCAATTTTAGTATGTTTAGATTTTAAGTAAAATTCTCATCATGTTGAATTTCGTGTGGAACCAAACTCTAGTCATTTGCTGTACAAATAAGTGTTTTTTAATGGCTGAGTCAGCCTGTGTTGAGATTAGTTTTTCAGCAACCTGCAAGTCTGAATCTACCCAGATAACAATTTCAACGTTGACAACAACGTAGAATTCCACGTTACTCGTGAAACCTTCCACAAGGAAAGCATCGTGCACCGGAACGTGTAATTCTACGTGGATGTCCATGTATTAAGTACCGTTTCCGGAACGTTCCCGCGTAAACGTCGTCAGCAACAACGTTTACAGGAATGTTTCAGTGTCCACGTGGCAGGAACATTGCAGTGTCTACATTGCAGGGACGTGGCAGTGACTACATTGCACGAACGTGCAGTAACATTAGAATCCATTTTATTTGCAAAACATAGTGTGGCATTCATTTTTGGGCTTTTCACAGTTTGTGCGTCTCTTTCCCTCCTAACGTGTTTATGATTATTAGAAAATGTTGTTAATTATCTACTTATTTGCGATAAATGACGATTAATTAAAATACCATCATTCACTTCACAGGCACGACTTTCATTTAGTTAGGTGTACGTACTAGAGGAGGAATAAGCACTTTCAGTTTTAGAGTGGAACATCAGGTCTACAGGTTAAAATTGTGGACATTGACTTGAGAATATAGAATTAGAAACAGCCAAGTATGTGCAAACCAGATGATTAACGAACTTTTATGTATGTAAAACACGGAGGTATAAGTATCACTTCAAGCACAACATTAAACTGCGAAAATCACTTGGTATGCCAATATCAAGATAACAATGGTGGACACTCTCAAACAGTTGCAACCCTTCCTGATCAGACTGATTCCAGGAACTTGGTTGGTGCCGACATGGGCTGCTCATGCGCTGTAGACTTTTTGAGTAATCTGCGCCGCGAAATGCAGCGCCACCTATTGGGCGCACCTGGCCTGTGTCCTGCCTGTGCTGCCTTTTCTAGTACAACGTGTTTTGGACTATGTTGAATTCTACGTCTCGGAAACGTAGGCAGCGAAACGGCGAAAGTGCGATTTTAACTTTTTAGGTTAGGTTTACAGAGCAACATTCCTTTCCACGCTCCTGTTACATCGCCAGTGAGACGTCTTCGGAGCAACCCTGTTTTTCCATGTTGATTACAATGTAGAAATTGTATACGTTCCCGGAATGTTTCAAGGTCTACGTTGATTTCCACGTTGCTGAAACGTTCGATGTTATTTGGATACTGATTCTAATATCATTTAAATTAAATTAAATAACAATTTTAATACAATTCAATTTAATTCAATTGAAACTTCTTAATTCCAGGCTCAGTTTGGACTTTTTTACATGTTTTAAGTGCTCTACATGTAATTTCAGGAGGAAGCATATTTTGTCGTACCCTTACCCTTTCTCGTTGTGCCACAAGCACTTCATACAAAAAAGTTTGCAAACCTTGTTTCATCAGAGATGAGCATAGCCTCATTGCCTCAATACCTAGTGCATTGCCTTAAACGTTGCCCAAGGGCGGTTCATGCGAAATGCATCAGATGCACTCTCACTTGGTTCCAGTTTCAATCCGTTAACATTGCAAACTTGGGCAGTACATTTTCCGTCCAGGGGTGCAGAATCTTCCAAGCCTCCGCATTTTTATGCATCCGCCAGCTGGCTTTACACATTTTTCCCATCAGTTTACCACAAAATTTCCCACCAACCTGAAAAAGATGACGTTTTTCTTCTGTTTTCCCTTGATTTACGACTTTTAGCCCCTCAAAATGTTCCCTCTCTCCACATTTCTGGGGCTTCTCCACATTTTTAGGGCTTTTCCACATTTTCACATGCCTGCCAGAGCGCGCGATGGGACACTTTCAGGACCCCTTGTTCCATCCCTTCAAAATTTATCAGAGAGGGCAACAATGCCCATTTATCTGTTGGTTTTTAAATACAACTTGTCTTTAAAATTATTTTTCCTCAAAAAATTTGCAATTTTCTAAATTTTTGGTGTTTTAAATTGCAGGGTCATAACTTTCCCTTTACTTCTTCCTCTCCTAATAACGCATCTGCATTCTTCAAAGTGTTCCTTGTCCTCTGATTTCATTAAAATGTAAACGTAAATATGAAGCATTTTCATGAAAATGGCTCTAATTTTTTACTATTAATGAAGAGTTGCATGGATGAAACTAATTCCTTAATATTTTCCAGATATTCGCAACTCCGTCCAGCGAGTGCCAACGAGTCAGCGGTTATTACACTTCAAGTCAGTCCTCTTTGAACCTTGGTAATGTTTTACCTTTCATCTTGTTTATTTTAAGAAAAACACTATTGGTTAAGAATTCTGTCCGTAGTTATGGGCCTCCCTCATAATTCGTGCACAAATAAGCAGATTCTTCCTCCATTCAAACAAACAAGCAAGAAAAAAAAGAAAAAAAAAGTATTTAATATTTTCCAATTTCTCTATCTAATTTCAAATGCTCCTATGCGCATTTATGCTAATCGAAAGAAGGCCATAAAAATGGGTTGTATGGAACAGGAACTCATCAGTCCAATGTTAGGAGCGTGACATGGATAAGAGCTTATTTAGAAACCAAAGATATTTTGAAGCCCTCCCATTCAACACTCAGAAAAGATGCAAATCCGTAAAAGTGAGGTTCAATGAGATTTATTATGAAGATTGTAGACTGTGGCTGTGGGAAAAAAGCATATTAGTCAAGCAGTGTGGAAAACAACAGTGAAAACTGATGAAAATTGTGAGAATGTGATATGCTTAAAGACCGGATCGTACTTACTAAACCATCTGCAATACGTACTTGTATAATGCTTATCAAGTGCAACACTTTCTNGGGGGGGGGGGGGGGAGAGGTAAAGAGGGATATAGATAAAGGCCGTTTTCGGGCCCACCTTGAATTTCCTCAGCTTTGCAATTTTTCACTTATGAAAGATCTACTTATTGTAGAATGCATCATGATTTGGTCTGTCATGTCACCATGTATGCCTGTCATTATGTCTCTTGATAGAATAAATAAGCTCTGCTAGCTATCAACTGTTTTCAGGATGCAACGCAAGAAAACTTCATATGGGTTCCTTATTTCTAGGGGTCTGCGAAGCGCGAGGTCAGAAAAAGCGAAGCAAAGCAAAAATTTCGCGGTAATTCAAATTTTCGCGCTCTTTTGGAATCAATGCCAAATGCCGATGATTGATGGATGATTCTCCGCGTAAACCGGTTCTTTGCGCATGCGCTTGCGGCCGCTCCGCGTTAAGGCCTCGATAGACGATCATATTCCCGAACCAATTCCGATGAAAGTAGCATCGAAGTGTTGAGAGTCATTAGTCTTAAACTCATTAATTTGCTTCATTTTAAAATGAAAACTGGGCAGAAATGTTTCCTGTGGCAGGAAATGATGAATGGTGGCACTCTGTTCTGATCTTACTTTGAACAAAAAAGTGCGGCCCGTCAAAATTTGATGGTTGATGGTGACCACCAGTCATCAGCATGTCTACTTTGATCGGAATTGGTTCGTAATTTGATTGTCTATCCGGGGGTAGCCCCGGATCCTGATTTGTCGACGATTTTTCTCCATTTTGGACCACCGTGCGACAAAATTTTTGAAACTGAACACGGTTAAATGCTTGGGGGCCCAATAAGAACATTTACAGCCCAAACCCATCAAAGGTGTAACTTTTTTGTCCATTTTTCCCGTCTTTTTGCTGTAGAAATGGTGTCCAGAATGATGGCAATTTGGCAACTTTTCCCCCTCATTTCTCAGAAACCGTGTGTATAATCAAGCTAAAATTTTAACCTCGAGTTTTAGGATATCATAAGGTATCGTTTGGGCCTGGTTTTAGAAAAATCCCCGCTGGCCCAAATTGTGCCAAAAAACAGTCGTTTTAGGCGTTGCTCTTAAAAAAAAATCCTAGATCTGCTGGCATCTCAATAAAAATTCATTCTTAAAATTTAAGGGAAGAGGAGGAAAATTTGATGAATGCATTTTTCACGTATTTTCCCGTGTTCAATGAAGTTTACCACCGCCGCACAGTGGGACGAAATGGGTAAAACCTCGGACATGGGGTGTTCTCATGTTTTGCATAAAGATGTGATGGAATGTGTTCCTAAGGATCCATATTATATGAATCTAGTGTTGGTTTGATGATTTTTTCAAATGCTTTTGCTCCCTGGACTCCTGAAGTTGACATTATCTGTAACGGCCGATTTTGCTCTATTTTCTAAGGTCGGTTTCCATACCTGCCTCTTCGAGTGACGATAATTGACACAAATATGAATGCTTGAATCTTATTCTAGAGTGTATGAAGAACATATTTCACTATTAAAAAGTTAAATTTACTCAATTGTATACGTTGTAATGTCTGATCAAAGATGACCCTTCCGAAAATAAGGAAATAAATGTTTGAATAGACTTTTAAAAATTTCGCCGCATTTCGCCGTCCAATCATGCATAAGGCGTGTTCCAGTGATCCTCCAGGATGAGGAACCCGTCGTATTTGGCTGCCGCCAGCTGCCGCTTTGAGAGTTACATCGATTTTTGTCCGAAAAAGTGAGGACGGAATTCGCTGTTTCTCTACATCTTACTTGATTATCTTGGCGTCTTAATACACTCAGTCGAATTTTCATTTTAAAACTTGATGTACTTACATAATTTTCATCGTAGAATTCAATTTTGACCTTACTTTTGCCCATTTTTTGGCCAAAATTCATCATTTGATAGGTTCGCGAACTCGCGATCGAGGCGGCGACAGAGGTGTTTTTGCTTTTATCTTATATGATTACTTGGCATTTTAAGGAGAAAATAAAAATGTTGAATGTTCTATCAATACTTTTGAATGAATTATTCATCATAGAAGGGGTTACATCCCCTGACCACTTCGCAGCCCAACCTCCCGAAGCGCTTGGCGCTTCAGGCGTGGTACATATAAAATCCTTTACAAAGCGTTGGAAGTGTCCCAGCTGATTCTGAGATATCGTGATTAGTGATATGAGATGGACCGATTTACCGTGCAATTTAATCTCGTTGTTAGTGTTGACCTTAAATTTTCCGTGTTTCGTGTTGTTCCGTGTTCCGTGTTTCGTGTTGTTCCGTGTTCCGTGTTTTCTGTTTGTTTAGATATAATTCCTCAAATAAGAAGAAATCAAAAGTTCTCGATCCTTAGGACATCCACCGCGAGCTTTTCATTTCAGATCTTCATGAAGATAGCGGTGTCGATCTTGATGAAAGAGGGTACTACCACAATTAATCGGTGTATTACCACAATGAATTGGGGTATCACCACAATTAATTGGAATTGTCCATATCATCCAACAGTTGGGACTAAACCCCTATCTCTTTTTTTCAGTGTAGAAGGTAACGGTAATACCATATTTTTTTCATAATCGATATAGAAATATGAGCATTCATTACATTGAGAGATCACATAGTATCGATAAAAATTGCCTCCTCAATGAAAATATCACAGGAAATCAATAGTTGCAACATGAATTGTCAATCGGAACAGATAAAATCTCTGCGTAAATTTTCTTTGTGCATTCCGATCGATTATTGAATAAATCCTTCAAAAGCACGTATGCATGAGAAAAAAATAACAAAATTAAGCTCAAAAATAGGTTCTAAGATGAAAGTATGATCGTGCATCAACGATTCAACGCGTATTTTTTACCAGAACGAGTTAATTCTACCTTCGAGTAACTTTTCTTTTCACATTTCTACCTGAAGTTTAAAAAAAAAAAAAAAAAAAAAAAAAAACCAAAGTAGGTAGTGTAATTACGTTAATATACAAACAATTCTAATGTCAAAAATGAATTCTACCTTCAAAATACCATGATTGCACCAAATTTTAACACGAAATTCCGACAAGAATGAGTAAAATTTATCTTTGAGCAACTTATCTTTTTATGTTTCCGCTGAAAGTTTGAAAACCCACAAAAATCGTGCGTTTGCGTTAACATATCAAGAAAAGTAAGGTCAGAAATGAATTCTACGATCAAAATACCACAAGCCAGGGAAGTTTCAACACGAAATGTCCACAGGAACGAGTGAAATTTATCTTTGAGTAACTTATGTTTTCACGTGTCTACTGAAAGTTAAAAAGAACCCCCAAAATTATGTGTTTCCGTCAATAAATCAAGTAAAGTAAGGTCAAAAATGAATTCTACGATCAAAATACCATAAGGTGCCCAAGTTTCATCACGAAATGGCCATTGGAACGAGTGGAATAGTCGAAACAAGTTGGGGCGCAAGGCGATGACCGGGCATTCCTATGCTTCGCTCCACCGTGCGCCGCACGCTGAGTCGCGACTCGCTGGAGTAACCGCAACGAAATTCCGCGGGTTGCATCCAGCGTATTTGAAGGGGTTTTTTTTGTCCAGTTGCTTCGCAAATTGCGAAGGGAAGTGCGAAACGAAGCGACGCCTTCGCTTTGAAAATCGCCGCTTCGCGGACCCCTATTTATTTCATTAAAAACTCTAATTATATTTTTTGTACGACCACTGATTTGTGTTGTATCACCATCAAAAACCTTTCTCTTATCATTTTCAGGTTACGAGAGATCAGGGAAATTACCTCCACCGGAGGCTGTCAGTGAGCATTTTGGGGTATGTTTTCAACACATTAGGAAGCAGTCAGATTTGCAACTCATCAGATGTGTTCAGGTTCGTTAAAGCAATGATACTAATGCTCTATCTATCGATGTAGGCCTAATTTAGCTTAGCTGAAAAATAAATGAATTATAACAATTTTTTCCCTGAAGTCTGTTAGCACCTTGAAATTCTGTATGGTCTGAGGAGAATAGGTAGTAGTAGTACGTGAACTTATGAGGGCTCTTCAGAAAGTAAGTTTCCATTTTTTATTTCTTAAGATCAGCCAAAGCCAAAGAAGTTTGAAGCCCTCGCTACAAAGTATTTATAGCTGTCTAATGTTAAATTGGTTTTTGTTGTGTAACCAACCAATCGCTTCGAAATCACATCTCTTCAATGAGGATAACCTCTTGTTTCAAAAAAAGAATATTTTATTTTTACGTACCCAAGGATAATTTCTTATAATGTATTGTGTTTCCAAGACACAAAATTCTGAATACATCACAGAATATACATTTTTCTCCATTCCAGCTTTGCCATCTGCACCTGATCTGTACCGTGAGCATTAAGTTTATGTCAATAATGCCATGTATGCTGTGACAGCACAATGGCACAACACTTGTCTCTTGATCTGGGGGTTGTGAATTTTAATCCCTGTGTTTTTTTTTCCTAATCTCCCATGCAACTTAGGTTTTAAATTGTTTTTCCTTTTAATATGCATTCGCAAAAATTCCTCTCTAGGGTTCTCCTCTGAAGTATAATAATGAAGCAAATTAAAGTTGTTATTGTGCAAGGGATTAGAAGAAAAGAACGTATATGTACATTTTATGGGGCAAAGATTGCACTCATAGCCTCCTGATTGTCAAGCAAGCTCTTTCACTGGGCCACCACATTGGAAATGGCAGTGAACGTAATCTCAGTGCTCATGGAGTTGGGTGTTTGTCTGGCATTTTCAGACAATTCCCTCAAACAGCCTGAGAAACGCTTCTTCTAAGCCTCCTTTTGTAAATTTAAACGGTTCAGTTTTTTTTCCATGCCACTGGAAGCCATGAATTTGCAATGTTATTTGCATTTAATGTAATTTGCATCTAAGAGATCAAAATTTGGATAGCTTTTTCTTAAAACTACGGTTATTGAAGAACAAATGTAAAAAAATCAAGATCTAAATTTGGTCCCTAATTTTTAGTCATTTTTTGTGTCAAAATTTTCTAATGATGTTCTTAGATTTTAAATGCTGAGGCCCCTCCCCTTGTGAACGATCATGTTTGTAATGGACCACTAGACAAGGAACGAATTTCAGCATTCTGATACATGTTTCCCAACCAAAATTTCACGGAAAACACGATGCGCACAACGAAAATTACGGAAATCAACTCCGTACGAAGATATTTAATAATTCTTGGTGCAAGAATTGAAACCACCCGCTCATAAAAACTCAATGCTCTATATGATTCACATCGTGCGCTAAACATTATCATGAACGTCTCTGCGATAAAATAAATCTGGCAAAGTCAATCTTGACGCTTTGCCTCAGCTATAGCAAATTCCTCATCGTTTGAACAACACATGGTGGGAAATGAACATTGCTCGATTGAGAAGTTCGCTGAAACCATTGTAGTGCACGATTTGACTCACGTAGAGCTTTGAGTTCTTGTGAGCGGGCAGTTCAAATTCCTCGTAACCAATGTGGAATAAAAATTTTAATATCTCCGTTAGGAGTTGGTTTCAGTAATTTTCGTTGCACGAATCGTGTTCTGCGTGAAATTCTGGTTAAGAAACATGTATCAGAATGCTTAAATTCGTACCTTGTCTAGTGGTCCATTTCAACAAAGTATGATTTCTTTAGAATTGCTTTGCAAACTATCCTTCATTTGACGGCAACCAATTTTTCCAGGCAAATAGCGCTTCGCGGGGGAGCTATTTTGTGAAACCCCCTCTATCGCCATTCTCCCTTTTTTTCACTGAACGGAGTATGGAACTGGAGTATCGGAAGAAGTCTCACCGAGAACCGGTTGAAAGTCACCAACCATTTGGCGCAGAACCTGTTGCAGAACCACCCACCCTTGCTACTCCTCGATTCAACACCTATTTAGATATTATCATCTCATTATTGGTTAGTGAATTCCATTGATATCAACTTTCACACTTATTAGTACAATCGTTTACCATCAGAAATGAGGCATTGTGTGCCGAAAGGGCACTTTTTAGAAAACCTTGGTTCAAGATACAAGCGATTGAAAGATAGAATGCTGTTCCTATCATAATGTATCGCAATATCAATGTGGCATCCTTCAACAGAAGGGTTAGGTGGCTCAAAAAAGTAAAAACTGGGTACTTGCACATCACAGTTGGGGTATTTCATATTTAACAGAACTTTCAATGCATTTTTCTCACAACGAGGTGCCCAGTTATTGGCCACTTTTTGTGCTGTTTCCTTAATTTTCTCCGTCATTTTACGCCAAAAATTTAACTCGAAACCAGAGAAAATCGAGGACTGTATTTAAACGCAAAAACGTCAGGGGTGACATTTTACTCATGAATGTTGGGCCCAAGAACGTTTGCGGAAGCATATTCACCTTAAAATGACTCGGAGAATGAAAATAACCTTTTAGATGTTCCATGAAATATTTGGAAGCTTTTAGGATGTAATTTTCGAGTTAAATGTTAGAGAAGATTGGGATCAGTCAGATATTAAATGTTTACAAAAACAAAAACAGAGAAAGCAAGGAAACATGTGATGTCAAAAAGTGGGAAATGCAAAATCTTTTTCCATTCAACTTTGACCGGCATATTCAATTTTCTTACATTTACTTTAGTTTTTGGTCATTGTCCGAAAATCTCTGCGATCATTTTTGAGTCTACTGAACGTTCTTTTCATGAACATATGTAGCAAGAGTAAACTGTATTTATTTATCTTGTTAGCAGCAGTTTCCTTCATTTTTACTATTTTTATTCTCCTCTGGATTTGAATACTGGTGCTAAAGATACTTGGAAGACATAAAAAACAGGATTTAGTCCTGTATCATTCTTGTTTGCATGCAAATGTAGGCATTGATTCTATTTGTAGAAGTGGAAATAATTATTTGTTATTTGCTGGATGCTTCACTCAGATTTACCTAATTTTTAACTTCCATTTTCAGGTATTTATGGCGGTGTCATGTTCACTATTTCTTTTGTGGGACATATCTGCAGTGTGGCTAGCGGTTTTCATCTTCGCATCAATATCCCAGATCATCACAGTCATTGTCTGTTTACGCTCTATTATTCTAGCCTCCACTGATTGGTTTCTTGACTGGTATTCCTGGCACTTTTGCGGTGCGATTCTTGTGAGCCTCCCTGTCATCTCAGTTCTCGTGAATTTCCCCTCAAATTTCCCTGGAGATTTCACATTGTATTCGATCCAGCATTACTGCTATATTTTCTTCATTAGTCTCATTCATTTCTGCAATTTCACACAGCTGAACTGTTGGATGAAAAGCACCATTGCAACTGTTGCTGCAGTGTGGTTCTTGATCTTAATTGAAACAAAGAGTCCCGCAGCTTTATCTCTCAGCGCTGTAAATCAGTCAATTTTCCTGGATAAAAGCAATTTCTTTGTCGTTTTAGATAAACCTGAAGTTCGGGGAGTTGCTAACATCTCTACATTAACCCAAAGTCACATCTTTGCTGACTCAGGCATCCCAGTTGTAGTGAGAAAAGATTCAAAATCATTCGGTAGTATTAAGAAATCTAAAACAAGTTCCTCTTCTGATTTGAAGCAAGGCTTGGAAGCTCGTTTCAAACGAGCCAAAGATCCAGAGAGTAATGAAGGGCCTAGAATCTTTAATTTCAATCTTGTTTATTCTAGAGTTCGCCCAAATAGTTCGGCAGAAAGTCTCTCAAAAGAATTTAAAGTTGTTCTGTCAAATCGCACCAAGCCCTCTGGCACACAAGAAGCGGCCTCTATGAGGTTCAAAAGAATGAATGCTGTGAAGCAGAATGGTATCAAAGAATTCACTAAGAGTGAAGAAATATTGGAGTTGAGCCAGTTCTACTGCCACGAAATTTACCTAGATATAGCTCTCTTGCTTCTTTTGATCTGGTTCCTAAATCGTGAGTTTGAGATCAGCTATCGCCTAAGTTTCTATGGCAACATAGTTGCGGCAAAGGATAAAGCTCATGTTCAGTCAATGCGGGACCAAGCAGACTGGTTGCTGCATAATATCATTCCACGACATGTCGCAGACCATCTGAAGCACACTGCTCGGTGAGTTAACATTATTTTTTTCAAACAGTTTTAGGGCTGTGGAAATAGTGAATTTCTCTTAACAAAGCGAATAGCGAATAATATTGCCAGTTGATCACAAATACGAAGTGAATAGCGGATAATTTAGGTAAATTATTCACAACTACGAATAGTAAAATGAATAATTTAAAATGATTTTTTTAAGTGCGAAAGCAAATATTACAAAAGTCAACAAATAATTGTGATTAATTTTTTTAAAAAATTTCCAGTTGTTCCTACACCTGCACAGAAAACAATGAAATGCTATGATAGTGGCCTAGTCTGGTAAAAGTATGTCTGAAAATTCCTGGATGCTGGCTTGACCTGCAGTCATGCATGCATTCCCAGGATCTAAAGTTAATGTGCAGGCAGTCAAGCTAGTACATATTTAAAGATCACCACCAGACACATTTTTAGTATTTTCCTTTTTTTGGTGTCAATGAAAATGTGTTTATGAACATTTTTTTTCTATTTAGTGTCTTTCAATCTTTAATTTGGGCTTATTTCCACTTTCCCTTCTCTCGATACTTCTGCCTGATGTTGCTATTAATTTTTTTTTTTTTTTATTGGGGAGGTTTGTGATCTCTTGGATAGAAGCCTTGTGTAGGTCCTAGCCACGTCTTGTGAATGCCACTCGTGAATTCGTTATTTTTGACAATGGATTTGAAAATTCATTATTCTTGATGGTGCAAATATTCGAAAATTTGTCATTTGCGATGGCGCAAATATTCGTAAATATCAAATAGTGCGCGAGTCAGCCAAAACGAATATTCGCCGAATAATCGTCGCGAACATTAGCACAGCCTAAATAGTTTTTCCTCAATTAGGGTATCCTTGAGTTGTGCTCGGTATAATAATAAAACAAACCACAAATCATGCTAAAGTTTTAATTTCCCAAAAATCAGAATCAGATAGTACCGAATTGACTCTCGTATGAAGATGTGCAATTTGAATCCCTCGCCTTTGATTTTCCAGATGCTGCGGGGAAGTTTGCTACCTTATTTCATCAGCAGTTAAACTCAACAAGTCTTCACTGAAGATTGCGACTATGCAAATCTTCATCCATACTATATTTCTAACATGGAAAACAAAGCAGTATCCTTTGTGAAAAATCCCTCTTATTTTTTCTCCCGTTATGGAAAGAAAAATCAGTGGAAATTCAAAGTGATGAAGATAGTCTGTTTTCTCACAAAAAATGTAAGAAACTGGGAATGAAATTTTGCTGTATGTCACATTATAGGTGTCTGTTTTTTTCTGAACCCACCATTGACAAGCAAACTAGTTAAACTGTAATTTTCTCAGCATTCTTTACTCCAACTTCAACAATACCTAAGTTTGTATCAATTTTTATTTTTTCCAGTTATTCAGAAAATGTACAGAATGCAGGAGTCGTGTTTGCAAGTTTAGTCAATTTCAGCGAAATGTACGACGAAGCATACTTGGGTGGCCGGGAGTGTCTCAGAGTATTAAATGAATTGGTAAGTGTTTTTGGCAGTTAAGAAGATGGATAGAAAACAGTAACGCATTTGAAGTAATAACATTACGACCAGTCCATCAATATTTGGATGTATTTCTGTTAAACGGAACTAAACCATAAGGTGTAGAAGGGAAAGGTGGGAACCCATGCAGGTGGGTTGGCGGGTGCAGTCAAACGACGAGCTCATTCCACAATGCTTTTCCATGGTGCATAGTTCTGTTTAACAGAACCCGCCATCTAGGATGCTAAAATCCTCAAAAGGAACTAAAATTGGCATTAACTTCCGTTCAACAGAATTATGTCCATTTAGTGGATTGTTAAAAATTTACAGAAATGAACTGATCATCTCCATTTCATGTTGAATTGTATATTGATTGTTTAATAGTTTGTTATTGTTAAATATTGTTAAATCGTTCGCCTAGCCAATGAAACATTCTTTTCTGGCTCTGCTGTCTTGTGTTATCCACTGTGATTGTCATAAGTTTAATTAGTTTTTCCTATGGCCAGATTATTGAAACTTTGTCAGCCTGACTTGACAAGGCAGAGCCGTATATTAAGTGGTCTTGAGTTGCTTGTCCTCCAGGAGGCTTTCTACAGCTTTAGTGATTTTCTTAGTATGTAATTTCTCACCATTGAGTCAAATATTTAGGGACTTTTCAAAAATGCCTCTGCACAGATTTATTTGTACCTTTTCATTTAATTGTAATACTAAGTAATGATTGACTTGTATTATGACTGATTTATTCGCCAATATTTACTGAAGAATAAAACAAATGAATGTATATTAACCATGCAATCTGTTGCATTTCGATGTCTCGTCAGGCTATTTTAAATTTTCAATAATTGGACTGCTGCTTCAGACGTTTCCAATCTAGGGTGTACCTGATAGTCTGAGGATCATACATTGTAAGTGTAACCGAGTAAATATCCATGGCTGACATTTTTTAACGCCAAGTAACAGCTAGTGGAGCTCATCAAAGGCTGTTACGTTTACTTAGTAACCAGCATGACCTTGAGATTGCACACACAGATCACTTCGTTGATCAAACTACTGATAGGTTGCATTCTACTCTATAAAAGACACCCCTCCAAGCTCAATGGCTGAAACTTTCTGGGGGTGTGAAGAATCGCCAATTGCTTTGTGCTCTGCACAGCTTTTCGAAGCATTTTTATTTATAACTCACGAGGAGCTGTCTTTTCCCCATCAAATTTTTCTGCTCTAAAGCTGTTGCTAAGGAAAAACTGACACATGTATTCTAATGTATACGTGAATCTTTTTTTAAAGCAATCATAATCAGAACTTTATCTGCTCCATTCAAAAAAAAAATAAACATTTTTTTTTTGGAATGGAGCAGATGAAAAAAAATGTTTATTTTCTTTTGGAATTTTTTTTTAAAAAATATTTTTATCTCATCCTTAAAAATTAATAACTTTCTTTCTAATATTATGTCAGGAGGTCTAATGATTCTGTTTTCAGAATTGATGTCAGGAGGATGAAGAAAAATAAGTTTTTTTTGTGTTACAATTTTTTAGATAATCATATTTAATACTAAACTCTAATTTTCAGATAAGTGATTTTGATGAACTTTTAAACGGTGACAAATATCCAACTGTGGAAAAAATCAAAACCATCGGAAGTACATTCATGGCTGCATCAGGTCTAAATTCGCAAGTTCGGAAATCGGACACCAATGATCACTTGTTCGAGCTCATGGATTTCGCCATCGCTCTTCAACAAGTTGTCGAATCTTTCAATCGTGATCTGCTCTCTTTCAATTTGATTCTTAGGTATGAATATGGTATTTTATTTTTTAAAAGTTTTAATTTTATATTGAATATTTTCAATAAAATATAATCTATAATTAAAGCCTGAAGGAAAGGAAGACAATTTTCATTTTTTAAAAAATTATTAAGATATTAGTGACCAAAAAACTATTTTCAAATAAAAATTTTCAGATTTGAGTTTTAAGGGTAGTTTGAGTGGAATTTGTTTCTCAATCACTGCTTTAAATGAATGACTGACAATGAGCTTTAAACATATATGACCAGATCTGGAGCAGATAAAGGGTTTCTTCTGGAGTTCTCATGTGTATGGACCTGTTTCACACAACGCTTCCAGTTTTGAAAATTGTATCATGCAAATGATTTCTATCCACACGAAAGGTGTAACCTTTCCCGTTCAATTGTTTTCAGAATGTAATAGAGTCGAGAGTGATTCTTGCGAATGCTATTTTTTGGCATGAAGTGCAACACTGTCCATCATCTTTTATCCTTATTGTTGTATGCATTCCTCCCTAACGAAACAGTACGAATGTATTGCACCTATGCCATTTCTCAAAACTCTCAATTAGTGCTTTTAAAACAATCAAATGTTGTAATTAAAGACCCTGTAAAGTTCTGGAATTCGAAAATCTTCATCATTTTCTTTCATCTCATATCTAGCAAATCCCATGTTAGTGCTTATTATTTCCAAGATCACCTCTTGTTCCTTTTGCAAAATTGCTTTTGACACTTAGCACTCACCAATTTTCTGAAGTAGAACCATGAGCTCGAATCAATTTTTAAATTTCGTATGCTTTTCACGATATATATGTTTTGCTTGTTTTAGAATCGGATACAACTATGGAGATGTAACAGCAGGTGTAATCGGAACAACGAAACTCCACTACGACATTTGGGGCGATCCGGTGAACATTGCCAGTCGAATGGATTCAACGGGCGTTCCTGGCCGGATTCAAGTTCCTAGTACATGCCTACACGTTCTTCTCTCTCCTCGATACCAATTTGAACCGCGAGGGCAGGTGTTCGTTAAAGGCAAAAACAACATGTACGTCTACTTGTTGGCCAAACCTGAGTGATCCTTTCATTATAACTGTGATGCGTGTTTGATTTCCTATTTAATTCATTCGAACAGTAGCTTGTAGCATTTTGTAGCATGGACTTGAAATTATCAGGTGAGTTTTGAGGTAAGCCAAAAGTCCCATTAATTGATCAGTCTCCCACCAAACCTCATCAGTGAATAGAATCATATCAAATCTCACTTGAAACTATTTCTTGTTCAATTGCCCTAATAAGTAATTTACAAGTTTTGAAGAGCCCATGCTCAACCACTTTTTAATAACCGTAGATTTTAATTTTCATTCATCACATTTATCTTTGGAAAAACTTGTCCTATTTAATTTCTATAACTTGAATTTCAAGATACCATATGTTCATGAGAAAATGTCACCAATCACTAAGTGCATATTGCTTTTATCTTAGTGCCTAACATTCAGTACTTAAAATTATTCGGTGCTAATTACTGATAATTTTTAACCAGCAAGAATATAATGAGTGCGTGTTTATTTGTATGCCCATTTTGAAAGAAATCTTAGATCAATCATGCACATTTAATGGTTCCTTACAACATGCATTCATTATGAAACCAGAAAAACATGCACCTGGATTGCTATTTGCCAAAACTTCCTCTCTTATTTTATTTTATCATAGGAGTATCAATATTTTTGGCATGAAACTTTCAGAGAATATTCTGGGAAGAAAAAAAAATTGTCTCTAAATTTTATGCAATGACGTTCGCTGGCTATCCTTCAATAGAGTGGAATAAAATACATTCTCACATATGAAAATATGCAGTGTTTGAAACAGAAATATGTGTTTTTCTAGTCGCACCATTCTCATGTTTTTTTGTTTTGTTAAATCTTTAAATGAACATTTCCAATCAAAACAAAATCTTTTCAAGCTTTCTTGGTTATTCATTCAATTGCGCATTTTTATTTCTTGAGCAACTAGTTTATTATTTAAATTTATTTTTTTAAAATATCTCCTTCTTTGGACCTTTATACATTTTATAATTGTTTTATATGTTTCTTCTCGAAACTTCTCTTGAATTATGTGATTTTAATGTGCCTAAAAAGCTTTACTGTGTCTTAAAGGGTCTGCTGTATTCAGTTTCACCTGAATTCATAAGTATATGGTTTGCCAATTTTATTGTAAGATCTATTTTCAACATCAAATTTGTTTTTGTCATGATAAATTAAATTCTGAGGGATAAAACTCTTCCTTTACAAAAGACCTCTCTAGTCACGGGACAAAACCCAGTCATCAAGAGAATATTATAAAACAAAACTGTAGAAAAAATATCATCTGAAAGTGATACAAGATCAATTCACTCCCACTTATTTCTCTACAGGGTGGCCCAGATCTGCCGTACCAGGGCCTTTTTTGTTCATTTAGGTTGTACGAGATCCAGGACTGCGGGTACAAACAGAGACCCGACCCCAAGGAATCTGAATTTCTTGGTCCTAGGGCCCCCCTCCCCCCTCTCGACCTCTTGTATGATTAAAGGGGGGTCGTACTTCAGAAGTCAGGGTTTATGGCAAAATTTTGAATTTATTTCATCAGAATCAGTAAGTATGGAAATTTTTAACCTTTATCAATACCAAGAAATCAAAAATCGGCCCTTCCATGTCCAAAATACTGACCCCTTAAGGTGGGGGACAGAGCTTTCTTTCAAACAATGCAAAGTTGCTTGGTTGACGTAGAGACTCGGAAAGAAGTTTTCATGGGTAATGGACCATAAGAAATCCGACTTTAAGGGTCTCGTTTTCCCCAGAGTCTTTTTCTAATTGGGTACAGGGGGATCCTGAATTTGTAAATTTAACCAGTGCAGGGGTTCTCTCTGTGATCCATCAGAGAAGATTTTGGGGACAACAGGATCCTCAAATTTGGATACCTTGGGGTCCATGACCCACGAGAACTTTTACTTTCTCGCTACCCTAGCGTTTTTAGTTTCTACATCAATTTAGCGATTTTGCATTTTTTGAAAGGGGGCTCTGTCCCTCACCTTTAGGGGTCAGTATTTTGGACACGAATGGGCCGATTTTGGATTTCTTGGTGTCAATGAAGGTTAAAAATTTCTGTACTTTCTGATCCCGATGAAATAATTTGAAAATTTAGACATATACCATGACCTTTGAAGTACGGACCCCCCTTTTACCTCCTAAGGAAGGCCAGGGGCTAGGACCTTGAAATTCGGATTCCTTGGAGTCAATTCCCTATTTGAGGACTTATCTGTAACAATAGCGGGATGTCGAGTTTTCTTATTGTGAGAAAATCGCGTTTGAAGTTTTTGAAGTTTTGCACTTTTCCGCCTGTAGAACCGAGAGGATTCTTGTAAAGATTTTCATGAAGAGCAACTCTTCCGGTAAAAAACAAACGTTTTACGATATATGTAAGTGAAAAATTGAAGGAGTAACAGCGATTTGAAAAAAATGTGACATCCGCTATTTTTACTTCAAACACTTTTTTATGCATGAAACAAAGTTTTCAAAAAGGGTAAGGCTGGTGAAAGGATTGAAATGAACCAAAAGTAAGTCAATGCTGAGTCATTTAACAAAATTGAACAAGAAACTAAACCGTTTGTAACTTTTACAACAAAAACAAGGAACAAATTCTAAAATCAGTTTAAAATTCAACAATTCTGGCGAGACGGTCCCGATATGTATAATTTGAGTGTCAGCTACAGCCCATGGCCGGTGGGTGGGCAGTTATCGCAAGTGGGTTCGAATCTCCACAGTGTTCTGCCGCGCCGGCCGGGGATAACAGTGGATTCTCACATCCGCTGTTTTTACAAATAACATGTTTTTCAGTTCATATCTCGCCGAAAAATTGTGCTGGAAGTCTGAAACTTTGCACAGGCATTCTTGGAGGCTCTAGATTTCGAAAAAAGCGTTTGCCCTAAAACTGGCGGATGTCAGCGACTGCCATTGTTACATATATGTCCTCATTTGTCTCCACGGTCCTGGACCTCGTACAACCTAAATGAACTGAAAGAAGCCCTGGTTTGGCACGTCTTGACCACCCTGTATAGACAGTGCTCTCTAACAATAAGTCTGAAAAAACTGTCATTTATTCACCTCCTTGAAAGTCATAGGAGATATAGAAACGCAAATTTGTGAAAAAACTGGTTTCTTATCTTCATCCATTCTTATTTGTTAATTTAACATTTGGATCAGTGTTACCTTTTTTTCCTGTATTTTTTCTTCCTTGTATAGAATGATAACTGTTGGGTATTAAAACTCAATTTTGTAAGCACTGATGAAGAAACCAGAAAGAAATCTCGCTGATAGCTTTACCTAACCCAACCTAATGTGACTTTAAAATTTTCTGCCGTCTTTTATGTTTTTGAAGGATGACCAGATTTTTTGTACTATAGTGCTTAACATTCTTCCTTGTCCCTAGAAACTCATTAAAAACTATTATGTTATATCTGCGAAAGAAATGAAAATTATGATTTTAAAAATGCTGCATTTGAGCCTTGTGTATTCAGGGGGATTTTTCATGCACACCTAGCGCTTCTTAAGTACAGAGCTTCGACAGGACTGTGTGTATTAGTCGTCTTGTTTCATTCCCTTCAAAGTTTTATTAGAAAACATTTTAGGTAAAGCATTACAACGATAAAAATAAAAACCTACTAGAAAAATGATCCACCTCAGAAGAAGCTCTAGAATTATGGAATAAAAAATCTGATGTAAGAACTCCTGCAATTTTCACGCTTAGAAATGTATTGTCTTTGCAGCCATTATCATTAGTGCTAGAATCATCTCAACCAAAGTTTTTTTCTCTCTTCCTTTTTCTTTTCTTACTCAGTTTGTCTCTCATTGCGTATTTTTATGTTTATCTCAATATTGAAAAAATAATTTCTTGCATGAATTTTGCATTCAAAATTAAACTTACTTGTAATGGAAAATTAGCATGTAAGTAATGGTGCTGAGTATAGGGTCAATCAAACTTTTCATCCTGTGACGCTCCAATCAATTGTGAAATAAGAGCCGTGGAACAATGAACACTACAATCAATGTTCATGTAGGTACTTTCATCATCGTTTTCTTTTCCCATCCAACATTTGGGTCTTTTAATTCCGTTTTTATCCTTCAGATATATAAAACAAAAATGGAATTCCTAGTTTTTTAATGTCTTTTCAGTCAATGGAAGTGCCTTATACTCATTTGCTGACACGACTCCAGTCCACATGTCACCTTATTTTCAAGTCTGGCAAACAGTGTGAAAACAAAAATTGTAAATTTAGACTTCAGAAAGACTGGCCTTTTCTAACTGATGATTAATTTAATTTATCTGAGCATTCCAGCATTTAGATTCCTGTCAGATTCATATTATGTTTTGACAGGAATATAATTTATTGAAAAATAGACCGTTTTTTGTAAAATGGATGAGAAATACCAAATTACTTTTCATGTGGAGGAGATTCTCATTTTTTCCGGATAGCTTAAGTCTAAATTAAGATCTGAGGGGGGATGCAGGGCTTTTTTATAATATTTCTTTGTTTCAATTGCAATTTTTAATCCTTTTATATTTTATAGGACCTGAACAAATTATACAAAGTGTATTTATTTTATTTTTTAATGAGATTAAAATATAAAATCAAACTGTTCCATTTCTGTGATGATTTATTTAAATCTCTTTCACTAGCACTAAAGTGATCCTCAAATGCGGAGACTTCCAAAATAAGTGGAAAAAAATGCATTGAAAATTTAACAATTTAAGGATTGTCGGGGGTTATCGGGGAAGAATGCTTTCCTAACCTATCAAGTATGGTTCAGAACTAGCTCGTGCTATGATGATTAACAATTAAAATACAAGTTTTAATGAGCCTTCACGCCTTTCAACACTCCTTTAACTCAGTCTTTTCTGTATAGCACAGTCAAGTATTTTAATTTTCTATTTGTTGTTTATGTGTATTCAAGATGGCTCCAGCCAGAAAAGACTGAAAGTTCTGAAAAAATCTCTTGAATAATAAATATGAATAGAGCTGCTCAAACTAGTGAGATTGTTGTTGCAGCCAGTGGTGGTTCCCCACCATAGAGATTTAATCACCACATTCATCACCATACATCTCCACAGACGTGATACCCATTTTCTTAATTCATTTGCACAAAGAATTCAAGGAGTCATTTGAACCACCTCTACCCCTTGAATTACATTTAGTGGCAAAGAACTGTTAAATTGATGGTTGTATAGTATAATGCTAAATTTATAATGCTCACATTTTACTTTGTGAGTGGGTCCTAAAATTCAAGGGCTCATAAAAATCAAAAATACTGATTTCACATGATGATTGGTGAATCATCTGTCTTGCTCTAAAAATGCTTGAACTTATTTTGCATCGACTTTTAAACGGACATGCCTTGATTGACGAATGGAAGACCATTTGAGAGGCTTGGGGGACAAGGCACACAAGTGAAGTTTTTGCTATCTCGAGAAATATACATGATAGAAGTTTAGAAATTACATGGATCCTTATGGTGGAACGAAAGTTCAAACTGACTTTTTGATGCTAAAAATTGGAATTTGAGAGCGAATTTTTCACAGAACATGCATTAATTCTCGTTCTACTTGAAATCATTAACATCGCAATTTTTTCCAAAACTATACTTATGTGCCTTGTCCTCCAAGCCTCTCATTTGTAAGACCTACATTTGAAAAGAAGTCAGGACTTTTCATGTGTTACCTATCCATTGAGCCACAGCACAGGCGGACGGTTTGCGGGGAGGCGGACGATACTGACTAGTTTTAGATCAGCAGTACAATAAGGTTAAGGAATCGGCAATATCGTATCAATGCTGCATTAATTTTTGAATAGATCAGGACCCATTCAGTATTGATGAGGTCAATATTACAGCTGTTGGTAAAAAGCCAGTGATTCCTAAAAGCCTCTCTCTGACAAGCTTTAACTGACGAGCCGTATCAGTATTGAAGAAAGATTCTTTGCTAGGGGGGTCTTCTGTCTCATTGTAAAAAAGTGTTTTGGCGTTGTTTAAGTGCAACGCTTAAAAAAGGATGAGGCTAAATTTAAAATGAATGGTAACCACAAACTTCAGCAATTATCAATATGAATTTATTCTTCCAAAAAACTTGAAATTAACATGTCTTTGCTATAACATGAGGTCAACACATTTAAATAATATGCTATGAAAAAAGAACAATAAATTAAATGAAAGATAAAAAATGAACGATACGAAATAATTAACAATAAACTAAGATAGTTATTTTTTAAGTCTAATATACATACACAGGACATGATACTAAACTGATTTTTTACAATTACTTACATTTACATTTACCTTTTACAAAAATAAGTTTAACACTATAATTTATCAATAGTACATGGATACTTCTAACAAGGAAAACTATTTTTGACATAATTGGTAAATTTAGACAATTAGATATGAAAGAATAGAAACAGAATTAAGTGGCAGATCATAAAGTAGGTGAGACAAACAATGATTTTTATGACTTCATACTTCATTTGGAAAAACCTACACTGTGAGATGAGAGATACTATTCTTTTCAAAATGTATATTCCGTTTTGCACTGATAAGCTGTAAGATTCAATAGGTATGTCCACGCAATGCTCCAAATTAGAGTTCTTGAGATGCGAGCGTAGCGCAAATAAAG